GCATGTGCTGGCCGCAGGGAGGCGCGGCGTGCACCGCGGCGTGCAGCGAGGCGCAGGGAATACCCCCGGGGCCGCGACGCCGGCAGGCCGACGGGGCCGACAGGATGGCGGGGCGGGGAGGCACGCGCACTGACTCATTTGCCTACGCCTATGCCCGCCAACGACCACGTTATGGTCCTAGAAGACCAACGTTTTGAGCCTGCAACGCCTTAATTTTGGTCCTACGACGGCTACCTTTTGGCCCTACAACGCCTACCTTTTGGCCCTACAACGCCTACCTATTGGCCCTACAACGCCTACCTTTTTGCAACGCCTACCTTCTAGCCCTGCAACGCCTACCTTTTGGCCCTACAACGCCTACCTTTTGGCCCTGCAACGCCGACCTTTTGGCCCTACAACGCCTACCTTCTGGTCCTACAACGCCTACCTTTCAGCCCTGCAACGCCTACATTTTGGCCCTACAACGCCTACCTTTCGGCCCTGCAACGCCTACCTTTTGGCCCTGCAACGCCAACCTTTTGGCCCTGCAACGCCAACCTTTTGGTCCTACAACGCCTACCTTTCAGCCCTGCAACGCCTACCTTTTGGCCCTACAACGCCCAAGTTCTGGTCTTAAAACGCAAACCTTTTGGCCAAACAACGCTCACGTTTTGACAAACCAGCTACCACGTTTCCAGCCACCAACAATCACATTTTGGTCCACCAGCGCCCACGTTTTAGCCTACCAACGCCCACGTTTCGCCCCACCATGTCTACCGGCGACATGTTAACCATGTTTACCTGAACGAAAGCCTCGGCCAATACTTAGGCGAGTGCCTTTGCCCACGCCGAGGCCCCCGCCAAGCCCCACACTCGGGCCGACAGCGGCGGACAGCGGGCAACGCCTAGCCCACGACTTGGCCCACACCGGAGGAATGCGCAGGGCTCGGCGCGGGGTCGGCGCGCCGAACCTACACCGCTGGAAACGTGGATAGGGAAAGAATCAGGCAGCTCGCGGCCCCGCGAGCCACAGTGGGCCAGAAGACCGGCGCCGGCGGCCAAAACTCTAGACGCTAAACAAGACTCGAACCGAACGTGTAACCCCAATGGATTCCTATCGTTCGGAGAGCACACGGTGTAGGCTCTCCCTACACCGTGGGAGAGCAATTGGTGGGTCACACGCTTGCATCGAGTCCCATTTAGCGACTCTGGAGCTCAACACGCGTCTAGTGATTTGGCCGCCCCCGCCGGTCTTCTGGCCCACTGTGCGACCAGAGCCGAGGCCAGAGCTCCGTGGCGGGCAGGCAACACGCAACCCGCGACCCGGACGCCTGCAGGTCGCGCTGCCGGCAGCGCTTCATGACACTGGCGAGGCCGATTGAAAACGTCCATCCCACCCACACTGTAAGTGCTCCGCAGTGCTTGGCAGTGCCCCTACAGCCTTGCGTTTTAACATTGTGCCGCGGACCGCCATGGCGCGCCATCATGAGTCCCGGAAGTGGCGCGTACAGTTAGGACCGCTCGCTAGCGAGCCGGGCCTCGGCATGGCTGCCGCCGCTGCAGACTGATTCCGAGAGTCGTTTTCGTCGCTCTGTCTCCCTCGCACTCATGGGGCGTCCCGCGTAGGCGCGAGAAAGACAGAGCGACGAGAACGACTCTCAGTCTGCAGCCGCGCCGCCGGGCCTTGACCCAGCAAACGGAAATCTTTGGCTGCTGGGCTGCCTGCTGGGCTGCCTGCTGCTTCCTCTGGCTCGGCTTTCCCGGCCGGAAGAGCGTCGTAACGTCGTAACCGGGTTGTTATCGTTCCGTGCATGCGCTGGCAGTGCAAGGGTTGGCTTGTCAACAGGAAGACTCGTGAGCTTCAGAGTCGCTTGACAGGACTCGAACCGAACGTGTGACCCCACCAATGGATTGCTCTCCGAACAGGGAATTCATTGGTGGGGTCGCACGTTCGGTTCGAGTCCTGTTTAGCGACTCTATAGCTCAAAACCCGTCGAGAGTTTTGGCCTCCGCCAGCCCACTGTGCCACGGCTCTGCCGCGGCCCGTGACCCGAAAACGAGAGACATTGTTTAAAAGTCTCCAGTGGTGCGACACTCGAGCCACCAGGCCCATGGTTCGGGGATACTCGGCGGGGCTGCGTTTTGTCTCCACACAGCGATTTTGTCGCACTGCTGTCTCTCTCGCACCTATGCGGCGCGCCCCACGAGTGCGAGCGAGACAGCGCGACGAGGCCCCAGAAGGTCCGCCCCGCCGCGTCGTCCGCGTCGTCCGCCACGTGGTCGGCTTCCGGTCCGCCCAGCCAAGAGGCGGCCGATAGCGCGCCAGCGCGCCAGCAGACTCGGCCGTTTTCGCCGCTCTGTCTCTCTCGCACTCCCCAGGCGTCCCGCATGGGTGCGAGAGAGACAGAGCGACGAAAACGACTCTCGGAATCAGTCTGCAGCTTTGCCAGCGCGACAGTGTCCACCCATTCTGGGCGCGTGCAGCGAGAAACTCGCGCCACTGACTGGCGGACGTTCCCGCGACAACCCGCGCGCAGGATGGCGACAAATGAGAAACTCTCGTCCTGTACGAGCACCCTCAGTGCGCGCTAAGGGTGGCGACGACGAGGGGTGGCGTCGCACCAGCGCGCGTCCAGGATTACGCCTTGGAAGGGAAGGTGGGGCATCCTCGCATCCTTGCAGGGGAAAAAAACTGTTTGCCTACCTCACAGGCGCCCTTTCGCTCTTTCGCGCCCGAAGAGCGCGCAAATCCCCCCCCCCCTCGCTACACCCCCTGGATCGCCGCACCTGCACCATCGATTGGGACTCGCGAGGCGCCACACCTTGGCACCCCATCGGACCTTCGACCCTCATTGAAAGGCAGCTTGGCCCCGCGACCCCCTTAGCCCCACTGTCAAACCAAGAGTGGAGCCATACTGCCTGGCGCGGAGCGATTCTCCACACTTGGACGGAGTTCCAGACCCAAACTCCAGACGCGTTTTGATCTCCAGAGTCGCTGAACAGGACTCGAACCGAACGTGTGACCCCACCAATGGATTCCACGTTCGGAGACAAATCCATTGGTGGGGTCACACGTTCGGTTCGAGTCCCGTTTAGCGACTCTGGAGCTCAAAACGCGTCCCGGATTTTGACCGCCTCCACTCCACTCATCTTCTAGCGCACTCCCGAAACGTGGAGAACTCCAAGGGTGGAGGCTTCAAGCGCGGAGGCTGCGAATTCTACACCCCTGCGTTCCAAGAGTGGCGCTTCGACACTGGGTTTTACAGTGTCGGCCCGCTTGGCCCGCTTGGCCGCGTTCCGCGACGCGGCTCGCCTGCCCACTTCGCTGCGAGGAATGCCGCCAGCCGCCGGATTAGTGAAAGTCGCGTGTTCAAAGTTCGGCCGCGATACACTTTGGACTCCACTTTGAGACAAGAGCGGAAAGGGTGGGAGGAGGAGGAGAAGGAGGAGGAAGTGAAAGAGGGAGGGGAGGGGCGGATGTACGGCGACGCGTGGAGGGGCGCCATATAGAGACGCGGCGCGGAGGCGGAGAGGGGAGGGGGAGGGGGCGAGGAGGAGACACACTGTAGTGTGAAACCACGCGGTCGAAACTTCCAACTTCCACCATGGCGGACGAGACGCGACAGGCGGCCCACTTCGGACAGCAGACCGATTCGGAGAGTCGTTTCCGTCGTTCTGTCTCTCTCGCACCTGTACGGGACGCCCCATGAGTGCGAGAGAGACAGAACGACGACTCTCGGAATGAGCCTGCAGCCCTTGGGCCCTTGGCGTTCCCTGCAGTGCAGGCGCGCGGCTCGCAGGGCTGCCAACTGCCGCCGCAGGATTGCTGCTCAGGATTCACGGAATGATGCCGTGGCAGGCCACTGGCAGGCCGCTGGCAGCAAGGCGGCCGCGGCTCGGCGGGGCTCGGCGCAACATTCCTCATGGTTTGAGGACTTGTAGCCTGCCTGCCTGCTGAGTGGCGGGGCGGGGCGCGGCGAGGCTACGCCGCTGCCGAGATACCGCGCTGGCACGCCACAGGAACGCCAGGCCAGCACGCCCGGCGTCACGTCGTCACGCCACTGCTAAGCCGGCCAGCCAGGCAGGCCGGCGCGCCGCGGACTGGCTACGCCCCTGGCCCCGCGCCACGCCGCGCCACCGCGGCCTTGCACTTGCCGTGCCGCGCTGCCGCGGTGCCGCGTGGCGAGGCGGCGAGGAACACGGCGCACTTTATCAGCGCCGGGCCGCCACCGGGCCGCCACCAGGCCGCCACGCGGCGCGCGGCCCATGGTGCCGCCGCGTGGTGCCGCCGCGTGGTGCCGCAGACTGATTCCGAGAGTCGCTTCCGTCGCTCTGTCTCTCTCGCGTCGAGAGGGAACGCCCCATGAGTGCGAGAGAGACAGAGCGACGAAAACGACTCTCGGAATCAGCCTGCTGCCCATGGTGCTGCCGCGTGGTGCGGCCTCATAGCGCTGCCCATGGCGCTGCCTCATGGTTCTGGCCCCGCCCCAACCGCCGGCACGCCGCTCGCCAGCCGATGATCGGCTTGTCGCTGTCTCTCTCGCACCCTTACGGAGAGCCCCGTGAGTGCGACAGAGGCAGAGCGAAGAAACGACTCTGCCGAATCGCTCGGCAGGACGGCTGCTCGGCGCCCGGCGCGATGGCGCTGGGCCGTGCCGCAACGCACGGGTGGCCGATGGGCTGCCTACCCAGCCGTTTGCAGGCGAGGGCCGAGGGCTGGGGGCGGACCCGACCCAGCGACAAGCGGCCCAGCGACGGGCCAGTGCCAGGGCAAGGGCCCGCCATGCGCAATGCGTTCGATCCATTTGTATCACCATGAAGAATCACCGCTCGTTGGCTGACAGTACTCGCAGCCCTAGTTACAGCCCTGGTTGCAAACCAGGGCAAGCCGGCTGTGGCTGTGACAGCTAACGGGGGGATCAGTTTTAAAGATAAGGCTTGAAGCCCCTCTTATCTGAAAGCTGCCATGCTTCAGCAAATTTTTGAGCGGTGACGAAAGAAAACGTGAACTGGACTCGTACCTGGCTTTTTGGAATGTTGCGGAATGGGAGCTGCCCACTGCACCAAAAGCGACACCGACAGCGAGCCCTTCCGGGATGTTGTGGATGGTGATGGCCATGATGAGGAGCAGCATGCGCCTCCACTGTTGGTACTGCTTACTGTTGGAGACGCTTGATTCATGTACAGTGTGCTGTGAGTGCAAACTGTTGCTAATACTTAAGTCGCCTGCACCTTTCACTCTCCTTCTTGACGGTGCACTATCTGTAAATACTGAAATTGGCAAACTTTTTGTTCAGAAGTTACCTTTGACTGAGTGACTGATGAGCTGGAGATGGATTACTTCCAATCAGAACTTACCGTCAATTGTGGTAGCGTTATCTGATAACGCTGGGTTTTGTTCATAATACGTAGAGAAAGAGTCATCCTTCTCCTTCGTCCCTCGACTGCTTCCTTGCATTGCTGCAAAGGAACCAAAGGTATTAGGGAGGTCAGGTTACGCACGTAGCAGTATATTAAGCAGAGGAAGAATAATAATGAAAGATAAACTTCAAAATGCCCAAGGCATACCTAAAATCATTTCAGGGTTGCTGACTCCTAGGGATGATATTATAACATCGGCACCCAGAACAAACAATGCCCCAAGGATAAACCCCAAGGACACAGGGAGCCAAGCGTACTCTCCATTTTCACCGTAGTTTTTTGACTCCTCTGCCAGCTCCACTGCAGGCGCTAGTAAGGACCAATACGAGGCGGCAATCATAACGCCAGCAGCAAATCCAAGGCTGCTGTCAAGAACGCTTTTCTGAAATTGAATTGAAAGACACACTGTAATGTTTTTTCCAGCTCATATGATTCAAATAAATCCATCGGCGATACTGAACAATTGAACAAGAGGGAACTCTTTAGGTTAATTTCCGCCGAGGCAGAGAGTATGTTGTTGTAAACAATGAAATTGTTTTAGCCAATAGGGCGCCATAACCCCCAAATTACCTTCGTCCCTGGGATTACGGCCACCATGGCAGCCCCGGCTGCTGTCAGTCCCCATGTCAATAAAGTACCGAGTAATGATTGAATTATGGGTCCGTATCCTTGCAACATTGTTCTAATGTTGAATCGAAAACCCTTCAAAAATGGGAAACATTAGCCTTTCATATCACCGGTCTTCAAAACATGACAGCAAAGCAACACCAAACAGACGACAGACGATAAACCCTTTGTGGGATTCTGCTGCCAACCTAAGAACTCAAATCTGCAGTGTACACACCGCACCGCATTTTATTTGAGTGATCGAAAACTTCAGCAGCAATACAGCGGCCAATCCACGGATAACAGAATTACAAAGTTACCGGTAGTATCAAATGCAGCGGCAAAGAAAGCACGATAGGTTTATTTTCTTTGGTTGGCGAAAGTGTTGCTCAACGAGTAATAGGGGATGCCTACCCGCCGGGCGGTGGAACCACCGTGCAGGATGGGTTGCCTGCTCGCAAGGCGTGCGAGCTTGCAGCCCCAAGCGAGACCCGATGCCTTCGCGAGTGTTGGAAAACTGGGGCCTCACGGAGACAACGCATGGATTCAAACCGAATCATACACCCGTCGGCTGGCCGGCCATTGACAAACAGGAAACGGCGCTTCATCGAAGTTTCTCAGAAATTTCAAGCAAATAGAGGCGGGAATGTTTAGTTTGGTACCAAAAAAGGCATCAACTAAAAATCGAGGGCACTTTAAAACTTGAGTCACGATCTCGCTATCAAGAAAGTGCTTTGTTTTGAATGCCAAAAGGTGTAACTGCCGCCCTGCCGGTCACGTGACACTATGCCGGTTTGAATGTTGTCCCTGCATATCCCTGGTCTTCCCTGGCCCTCCCTTTGTTGTTCCAGGTCGTTCCTTGTTGTACCTTCGAGGTTGTTCCTAGTTTGTACCTTGTTCCAGGTCGTTCCAGGTTGTTCCAAGTCGTTCCTTGTTGCACTGTACATGTCTCACGGTGAAAGGCTGCACCAGGGAATTCTCAATGGTATGTTATGAAGTCAGCTGCACCACCATAATATGGAACATTTTCACCATAATATGGAGAATCTTCACTGTACAACATTTAGAGTGTGGGCCACGTCGTTCCTGGTTGTTTCAGGTCGTTCCTTTTTGGATCGCGTCATTCTTAGTTGTTTGTGGTCCTTTCTTGTTCCAGGTCATTGCTGGTTGTCCCAAGTCGTTACTTGTTGTGCCATCTCGTTCCTCATTGTACCAGTATTGTTCCGGGTCGTTCCACTTCGTTCCACGTCGTTCCACGTCGTTCCTGGTCGTTCCGGTGCCAGGACGATTAGGCCGGGGGCGACGACACCGCAGCAAAACAAGCGAAAGGCGGCAGGCGGTGGCGTGTTGCTTGACAAGGCTTGACCTACCCTTGCGAAACACAAGACCTCTGCTGCCCCGCCTTTGCCTTATTGATGTGGCGCTCAATGGGGCGTTGCTGTGTTGGCTGTGTTGGCTTGGACTCCACGATCGCTTGATTGGAAATGTGGAACGCGAGGGCCGTCCATACTCACTCCATGCTACACACATCGGTATCTCGAATGGCAATAGCGCGCGTGGGATGCAAGTAAACAAAGTTAAGTGCCGCCAACTGTTTTGGTCCAAGTGTCGATGCGCGTGAGTGCGTGCGTGGGTGTGCGTGGGTGAGTGTGTTCAGAGAAAAGGGTTTGCGCTTGAAAGTAGGCGGGGAAGTAGGCGAAAACAGGCCATTTAATGTGCAAAGGCGGTCTTCAAACCATGCACAATATCTCACAGAATCGGGCGAAACCATGAAAAACCTTCTCGAAGAGAACCGCACGTAGAAAAAAATAACCTTCTGGGTGGGAGTGTGGAGTTGGGAAATCGTGGACAGACTACTCGGTATTACGCTGTGTTACGAGGATATTACTCGTGTATTACGGCCTTAAAATGCCAAAATTTGACCCATTTGACCCGAAAATGGTATTACGTTCACGTGTATTACTCACAATACGCTTTTTTTTGTGTACAGAGTATTAGCCCGCGGAGTGGTCCCTGACGAGTGGCTCTCGTGTGGGGACATGGAAACACATTTGGACTGAGCTGCTTGTATGGTCAATATTTGATGTCACGAATGACACCGCAAAACCTTAAGTATTAACTACAGGCTACTGGGAAAACCAGGAACCTTTTTTTTCGCCGTGGACAAATGGCATTTTTATTGCTTTACAGTGATGGCAATGTCATCACAAAATTAAAGGATCACAAAGTGACGACGACATTCTCATTTAAGCTTCTAAGCTCATTGCATGGGGCGACAACGTATCCCCGTACCAACTTGGCCCGGTGACATATTCTTGAACTTCCTTCGAAACTGTCACCGGGTGACAAACCAAATCGTCACACCGTGCAGTGCGCACTCCCGGTGCTCGACATCCACGTGAGTGGCCCTACACTTGAGAGACTAAACGCCGCCGTCGACTAATCTGTCTTTTCTCTCCGCTCTGCTTGGCCCCGCTTGACGCGCGCTGCGCCGCTGCGACGTGTTGTTTGTGTTTGTCGCGTGCCTTCGATTGCCTCGAGGTTTTCCTTCCGCTGGCGTGACTCGCTGCGCTCGCTGCCTTAGTGCCTTATCATCTGGCCATCAGCCCCGGCCAGCCCTGCAGTCCAGTCTTCACCTGACCCACCCTTCCACACGGTCCCGCACCTGGGCCGCACTGCAGCACCAGCCGCCACACGCCACAGCGCCATGTCTCCCGCCAGAGCGATGGTCCAAGACGCCAACGGCGCCGCAGCCGCCGCCAAGCCTCTCGCCAACTCCTCCAAGCTGCCCAAGGAGGTCTCCGAGTAAGTCCAGCCGCCGCACTGCGAATCGAAAGGCGGTCACACACTGTGAAAATTTGAGCCGTCACTTGGTGACAATTTCAAGGTTGATTTTCCTTACAACAATGTCATCAAATCAATTGATGACATTGTCGTCACGCCCATGCAATAAGAATAAGTATTGGTGAAAATGTCATCAATGTGATGAGATTGTCATCATTTCAAAGTGATGAACACATCATCCACGTTTTCGTCATAAAGTGACTACAAATTTTCTCAGTGTATTCCCGCCCTTTACTGGCGTTTTTTTGTATCGGTGGTGTCATTGGGAGTGCAGAAAATTAAACCAGAAAATGAAATAGAAGCCACCTGGCGAAAGCGTAGGTGTGCTTGTTTCCCGTGAATGGGCTTCCTCGTCTGGCACTTTCTTCGTCCCCTGGTGGGGCGTGGTGGGGCCACCCGGCCGGCAGGCGCGGCGTATCGCCCCATCGTGTGATTTTGTCATTCCGCCTCGTCGTTTTGTTTTCGGCGCCCTGATGCAAGACCGGGATCGCGTTGCTCGCTTCGCCTTGCTTCGCGTTGCTGGGCCTTGTTTTTGTTTTTTCTTGTTTTTCTTGGTGCCACTGTCGTATCTGTAGAGCAGCTGGCGATAGTCGCGCCCCGCCCCACCCCGCCCTGTTCCACCCCACCCCTCCCCGCCCCGCCCTTTCCGATTACCTCAGCCGGAGCAAGTCGATGAGCGCATCGCCCACCCAGGTCGGCATATGCCGATCAAAGCCCTAAAAACCTCAAGTTGGTTTCTTTTTCCTCGAAGATCGTCGGCCTAAAAACGTTTTGCACGTCACTCCCCGCATCTCCACGCACTCCAAACGCCCCTCTATGCACTTCCATAGGTTTTCCTTGCCACTCCAGCGAGGCACTCCGCTTCGAATGGCAGATTCAGGCCTTTTGGGCCCCGAAAATGGCGTTACAGATTGCAGAAATTTGCGCCTCCAGCGGCCTGGGCCTGGGGAGCCAAATTTGGGCATTCTCAGAGGGCGTTCCGGGGCCAGAAAGGCAAATTCTGGCATTCAAAACGGAGCGCCACTGGAGTGGCAAGCAAACTTACCAACGGAGTTGCAGTGCTCGCCTCTCGGATGGCTCTGCATGGCTCATGGCTCTGGTCGGGGTCTCATTGTGGACAGAAAGGAGGGTATCTGTGATGGCAACCTGACGAGGGGTTATCACACAATGAAGGTTTAAAACGTGGAGCTGGCCGTGGAGTGCGCAACGCGACGACGCTGGTGCATCCCTCTTTGGCGCAGGACAGCAGTACGAGACTGATTCCGAGGGTCGTTTTCGTCGCTCTGTCTCTCTCGCACTCATGAGGTGCGAGAGAGACAGAGCGACGAGAACGCCTATCGGAATCAGTCTGCGGACGGATGCCTGGGCGTGAGCCTGGACGCCTGCGAGAGGCGAGGTAGGCCACCGTCTCCACACCGGTGCGACGCGGACGGGCTGGCGGCCTACCTCGCAGGCGCTAGTCCCTCGCGTCCCTGGGCGGAGTGATTCCGTGTGCGTCGGCCTGGGGCCTGCCGCCAAAACTGAAGACGCGTTTTGAGCTCCAGAGTCGCCGAAACGGGACTCGAACCGAACGTGTGACCCCACCAATGGATTGCTCTCCGAACGAGCAATCCATTGGTGGGGCCACACGCTGGGCGGCGGCAGGTCCTCCCGCACACCAGCACGGACAAAAGCGACCGCTCGGATCTTTTAGATACAAGTTATTGCGAGCCCGTCCAACTATCGAGAGCATCTGTCGGCAAAAGCACACTTTTTCGGGTGTAGCATCATGGAGCGCTTCGGCGCTCAGCGGGAGTCCAATGACCGCTGGCCGTTGCGGTCAAATCGTCAGAAATCGGACCGCACACAATTCGGTGGTGCCTTTGAAAGGGCATTGAAATTTTGCCTTGAAGTCCCATGCTAATCCACGCTAAGGGCACAGACGATTCTCGCCGTTTCTGAGGGGTAGATAGTTTACGCCCTGCAACGGTGCAAATTTTTATGCCCTTGTTTCTCCAGACTCCTACTACTCGCTGTCTCTTTGTATTTTTGTCTCGGTAGCTCCGGGGTGTCTCCCGCTCGTGGTGCTATTGGAGTCATGTGAGTGTACTTGCGACCATCATCAACGCTAGACGGCCACACGCCGCTGTTATTCAACAATGCGACGTCACGAACGCATTCGAACGGAACGACACTTTTCGCATCACCCGTTGGATAACACAATGGGGATGGCCGAGTGCGTAGCGCGCTTGCATAATGGCACGTGAGTCATCCCCGAAATCGGACATGGGACCGCGAGGCGAGGGAGCGAGCAGAAAGCGGATGGGGATGGGGATGGGGATGGGGATGGGG